ACCCTAGGCTATTGATACGGTCTACCGAGTACTACAGGACAGGTAAGAGTCCAATACCCTAGGCTATTGATATGGTCTACCGAGTACTACAGGACAGGTAAGTGACTGAACCCTAGGCTATTGATACGGTCTACCGAGTACTACAGGACAGGTAAGTGACCGAACCCTAGGCTATTGATACAGTCTACTGAGTGCTACAGGACAGGTAAGAGTCCAGTACCCTAGGCTATTGATACGGTCTACCGAATACTACAGGACAGGCAAGAGACTGAACCCTAGGCTATTGATATGGTCTACCGAGTACTACAGGACAGGTAGGAGAGCAGTACCCTAAGTTATTGATACAGTCTACTGAGTACTACAAAAGTGATTGATATGGTCTACTGAGTACTACAGGACAGGTAAGAGTCCAGTACCCTAGGCTATTGATACGGTCTATTGAGTACTACATGACAGGTAAGGGTCCAGTGCCCTAGGCTATTGATACAGTCTACCAAGTACAATATATGTGACACATTTGTATCTATAAAGTATTAGGCTATCAATACATTCTACTGAGCATACTATTAAGTGATACACATGTACTTAAGCAATTGATACATTGAATTTTTTTGCATTGTAATTTGTAAGAAAAATTTATGTGACACACCTATACATGTACTAAGATTTTTAATATTATTATGAAATCATGATTGATGTAGTTGTTATGATGAAAATTTCATTGGTCATCAGAGTTAAAATATAATGGAATTCAGGTATATTTTTTAGTAATTTGATCCTGTACTGATCGCTCTGTGAGAGTGCATTTCTCATCTGCTGCTTCATATGGTAGGCCACTTCTCTTACATATGAGATATACTATGGCCTCTTTAATCAACACCAGGTTCATGTAATACACACCCATACTGAAATTTAAAAAAACGCAAATAAGAAATTTTTAAATGAGGTTGAAAGTAAAATGTGGACAGGTCTTGTATCCATCTGGAAGGTTATCCCAGCTGCACTCTGGTAATGACATCATCACTGCAAGCATGTGCTTACATGGCAAATGATGTCTTGAGTAGTCAAGACAGGTACATGTGGGTTCAGTGTCTGAAAACATCACCCGATACATGTTGTTCGAGTCAACACTATGCACAGCATAAGCCCTGTCTTCAACCTCCTGTATATTTTCTATTGGTATGTTTTGAATTTCAGGAGGAATTCTTTTGATGCAATGTTCAACAAGCATCCTTGGTTTGTTGTGTAAAAATTTTGGAACACTTGATGAGTACTTCTTGCAAAACTCAAAACTCTGGATATTGTAATTGAGATAACTGCAAAATAAAATAAAACTGTATCATTGCCATATCTTATTTAAAATACATGTACAATGTATACTCTTTTCAACATTTCATCTAACCAGAAAAGTACGGTATAGCGGGTTATTTTAGCGGAATGCTAATTTTGACTTATTTTGGCATTTTGAGGGTAGCCCGCTAAAATTTTAATTGCTAGAATAGTAAGTTATCTTCTAAGTGTTCATCTGCAAAGAGCTGAAACTCTGAGTGCACTAAAATAAATTACGCCAATATTATTAGCATACCCTTGAGCAGGTATAAAACACCAAATTTTACACCCGCCAAGAAAAATCACTATACGGTATGTACCTGGTATATAAAATTCACCTTGCATGTCTGGCATGCATGTACTATAGTCCAAACCCATAAAATCTTTCAAATTTTGCAACTACATTGTATGTCACATTAAATCCCCATTCAAAATGTTTCTTTTTTGTGTTGTTTTAATGGTTTTTGTTTCTTTTTTGTGTGTTTGTTTTATTGAATTTTATTGGTGTGTTTCTCTGTGAATGTCGGAATGAAAAAAGAGAAATATGAGAATTAAATACCTCCTATAACTGTCTGGTAAGAAATTGGAGACCAATGTCGCAATCATGGTACAAAGACTACCTTCACTGTAGTGAGACAGGTAGCCTCTTTTGAACTCCTGGTGTTTTCTCTCTAAGCCATTTGTTGTTGTCATTCTTATGTTGTAAGTCTTTTCCCTGAAGGTTTTAACCCATCTCTGAAAGAAAAAAATCAGTGTTAAATAAAAAAAAATACATGTTAAGAAAAAATAATGAAAACTAGAGAATCATTGCATTTTTTGATGTTGTCAATGAGTACCTTTTTAATCGTCGAACACTGCGAGTACTAGCTACATGTAAAACATTTCACTAATTTTAGGTACTGTTGATCTAGTGATTACATTGTAATGGATCATATTGTTTTGATTAGTACTCGATCGGAAGATGAAGACAGTAAACAGGTTACTAAATATTGTCCAATTCGACAACATTATTTTTTGTGAATAAAAAATCTTGCTACAGTAAATCTGGGTTATAACAAAGTCACTTAAGGAAATACTTCCCTATACCTGTAATTTGTTATTTCCGCATGAGGAATTTGTTAAATGTATTAAGCTGGGGATCCAATTAAAAATAACTTTGCTGTATATGTGAATTGGCTCTACATCCTTATTTGTACTACACAAGTTTTGCTTTATTTTCTTAATAAGTTTTAACATCCATTATAATTATTTTCATTATATAGATTATACCTTGAAAAGATTGTATACTACAATTTTCCATTAAATCTTACATGTGAAACTGATAGCCACTGTTTGTCAAACCACTTCCTCAGTTGTTGATTGTTCAGCCAATGAATGCTTTCTTTAAGGTTGTCTACAGCTTCTTTGTATTCAATTGCAGAATTGGCATTAGCTATTCCTCTCATTCTGTAAAAAAGTATTAACAAGAAATAATTAATTATATTTAAACAATGCACATTTTCCAATTAATTTTACCATGAATCATTCTCTTTAGAATTTTGCATTACAATATTTTAAAAAAAATTTATGCAAAAGAGAAAATACACACACAATTAAATATGACACAAATTACTGAGTACATGTACAATAATCACATGTATACACTTACAGTTCAATAACCTCATCCTGATTTGAACCAACACCATGCTTTATCTGTTTCAACCACCGTGTCCATGATTGTTCACGATGAAAAGAACACAGATATACAGTACAGTCTGTTAAAAAAGAAATTCATTAATTAAACAAAATATCAGAGTATTTCAGTGATTAAAATATTTGTTTTACAATGTGATAAAATACACTTGTAGAATATCACCATAATTTTTTTTTACCTTCAAATACTTCCTCAACTGCTTGGATTTCCCTTTCATCATAGTCAGTCATGAAATAGCTAGGATTCCATTCCGGATTCCATTCCTTAATTTTTTTAAGCCCTCCTGAATAGACTTTTTTGTTTCGGTCGCAACAACAAAAGAACCACAAATGGAATGCCCAACATTAGTCTGCACACAAATGAAAAAGAGGAAGGGCATACCTTGAGGTCTTATATGTGGCATCCATGATGCAAATGTCTCTCCCATACAAGTTTAAGAGACGTTTTTGCCAGGTGGTCTGGTGAACAAACAGAAAGTCCTCTGATGGAATGTCTCCATGGGTAGTGGTATCATATCTGTGTTTAAAAAATTTATCGGTAATACATACAAAGGAAACTTCTAGATCATTTTATCAGAAGCAATTAGGTTTGAAACTTTTGATAAACTTACGATGTCCTAAGGAAGAAGTTGTCCTCTGGATTACTCTCTTGCCAGGTCTCCACCAGAGACTCGAGGTTCAGCTGGTCATCTTTGGAAAACCTAGATGCAATCATTCGCAATCATTCATTATTGCACTTCAGAATCTGGGATTCAGTTGCTTAAATACTAATGGAAATTTTTATGAATAAAACCTCATAATTAAAGAAATATATATTCTTGCTTAAGTCGACCTTTGACGAAAGGTAAATAATCCTTCTTTCTCTTATCTTAAGATTACATACGAAATACAAATTAGGAACATTTATAATTCAATACCTCAAGCTGTTAATGGCAATATCCATGTGGTTTTTAATGTCCTTGTCCAATGAAAAAAATCTTCTGTTAGTTCTGGGAATATCCTCATCTGGACATAAGTCATTTTTCACAGAGATTAGTAGGTGTCTCTTCATTTCAGAAACATTTCTCACCCCATCAGCTACAAGTTCTTTTATGCGTGTAACTAATCTCGGATCAATGCGCTGAGTAAATCCTGCAAACTACACGGGAAAAATTTTGTACTATTTTTAACAATTCAAAATATAGTATACAAAGTATCTAGAATTCTGGTTACTGATGATTAACACTTACCTCTCCAGTAAGGTGGTTCTTGTGGTCTTTGACACTTGGATATGACACCAAATAAACAAGGGATTTTTGAATTGTGTCTCTGTTTGCAAAAGCTTGTTTGAGATTTCTAGATATCTTTCTTTTCATCAATTTGTTGTTATATGAATCTACCTAAAAAAGACAAAATATTGTATATCTTCTTTTTAAAATCATTTATTAACTTACCTTATAACTGTGCAAGATTAGTACTTAATAGAAATACTGTCCATAAATTTCTTTTAAACATCCAAACACTTAATTTTTTTTCATAATTAAGCCACTTGTCTATATGTTAATTTTTATTTTTCAAGTAATTTTTTTTTATGAAAGATTACATACAACAATTACATGTATCAGACATACATACTGTAATTACAGGGTTATTTTGTTCCATGTATTTTTTGCACTTTTACATTTGTGAACAATTTTGCTCCATATAAAATTCGCCCTGACATAGTTTTTATAGCAATCATTATGTAATTCCTTGAATTCACCCCTGTTTAAATTTGCCCAAATAAGGGTAAGGCAAAACAGGCAAAAATAAAACAGGATGAAAATTTCACTGTATACAGTAACTATTAAAGATCTCTCAAACACAATTTATCTATATTTACAATACCGGGTACATGTATTTCAGTTATATTTCTACAGTTCTATTCAAGGTTTGTTGAATAGTGTCATTTATCATTTACTGTAAACCAACTTTTATTCGGGACAACATTATTTTGCGATTTACCAGGGGTAAAGACAACTTACACGTCTTTGTTTTTTTTTCTCCTTTGCTCTCCTCTGTCTATCTGGTCCATGGTGACATTCTTTTACCATCCATCCTATGTTGATGTAAGGAGTGCCATCAAATTCAACAGAAGGACTAGCTGTTTCTTGACAATCTTGCCAAAGAATTTTGTGACCGTTTAAAGATAAAACATCTAAAATGTAACATTTAAAAAGTGTGACATAATTTTCAATATAAAAAATGCAAATGCAATTGTAAAACACAAACTTTTTATTCTAAATATTTGAAAGTGTTCTGGTCACTTACCAGTCCTGTAGTACTCGGTAGACCTTACCAATAGCCTAGGGTTCTGGTCACTCAACTATCTTGTAATACTCAGTATACCATATCAATAGCCTAGGATATTGGATTCTTGCCTGTCTTGTAGTACTCAGTAGACCGTATCAATAGCCTAGGGTATTGGACTCTTACCTGTCTTGTAGTACTCAATAGACTGTATAAAAAGCCTAGGGTTCAGTCACTTACCTGTAATGTACTACTTGGTAGACCGTATCAATAGCCTAGGGTACTGATCTCTTACCTGTCCAGTAGTACTCTGACAGTAGACTATATCAATAGCCTAGAGTTCAGTCACTTACCTGTCCTGTAGTACTCAGTACACCATATCAATAGCCTAAGGTATTTGATTCTTACCTGTTCTGTAGTACTCAGTAGACCGTATCAATAGCCTAGGGTTCAGTCACTTACCTGTCCTGTAGTACTCGGTAGACCGTATCAATAGCCTAGGGTTCAGTCACTTTCCTGTCCTGTAATACTCAGTAGACTGTATCAATAGCCTAGGGTACTGGACTCTACCTGTCCTGTAGTACTCAGTAGACCGTATCAATAGCCTAGGGTACTGGACTCTTACCTGTTCTGTAGTACTCAGTAGACCGTATCAATAGCCTAGGGTTCAGTCACTTACTTGTCCTGTAATACTCAGTAGACTGTATCAATAGCCTAGGGTACTGGACTCTACCTGTCCTGTAGTACTCAGTAGACCGTATCAATAGCCTAGGGTACTGGACTCTTACCTGTTCTGTAGTACTCAGTAGACCGTATCAATAGCCTAGGGTTCAGTCACTTACCTGTCCTGTAGTACTCGGTAGACCGTATCAATAGCCTAGGGTACTGATTTTTTACCTCTCCTGTAGTCCGCGATAGATAGTATCAATAGCGTAGGGTTCAGTCACTTACCTGTCCTGTAGTAATTGGTAGACTGTATCAATAGCCTAGGGTAATGATCTCTTACCTGTCCTGTAGTACTCAGTAGACCGTATCAATAGCCTAGGGTTCTGGTCACTAACCTGTCCTGTAGTACTCGGTAGACCATAACAATAGCCTAGGGTACTAGTCTCTTACCTGTCCTGTAGTACTCGGTAGACCGTATCAATAGCCTAGAGTTCGGTCACTTACCTGTCTTGTAGTAGTCGTTAGACGGTATCAATAGCTTAGGGTATTGGACTCTGACCTGTAATATAGTACTCAGTAGACCGTATCAATAGCCTAGGGTACTTGTCACTTATACGTCCTGAAGTATTCAGTAGACCATATCAATAGCCTAGGGTACTGGTCACTTACCTGTCCTGTAGTACTCGGTAGACTCTATCAATAGCCAAGAGTACAGTCACTTACCTGTCCTGTAGTACTCAGTACACCATATCAATAGCCTAGGGTATTTGATTCTTGCCTGTCTTGTAGTACTCAGTAGACCGTATCAATAGCCTAGGGTATTGGACTCTTACCTGTCTTGTAGTACTAAATAGACCGTATCAATAGCCTAGGGTTATGGTCACTTTCCGGTCCTGTAGTACTCGGTAGACTGTATCAATAGCCTAAGGTTCTGGTCACTTACCTGTCTTGTAGTACTTAGTAGACCGTATCAATAGCGTAGGGTACTGGACTCTTACCTGTCCTGTAGTACTCAGTAGACCCTATCAATACCTAGGGTTCAGTCACTTACCTGTCCTGTAGTACTCGGTAGACCGTATCAATAGCCTAGGGTACGGTCACTTACCTGTCCTGTAGTACTCAGTAGACCGTATCAAAATCCTAGGGTATTGGACACTTACCTGTCCTGTAGTACTCGGTCTACGGTATCGATAGCCTAGGGTACTGGACTCTTACCTGTCCTGTAGTTCTCGGTAGACAGTATGAATAGCCTATAGTATTGGACTCTTTTCTGTCTTGTAGTACTTGGTAGACCGTATCAATAGCCTAGGGTACTGATCTCTTACCTGTCCTGTAGTACTCAGTAGACCGTATCAATAGCCTAGGGTACTGGACTCTTATCTGTCCTGTAGTACTCAGTAGACCGTATCAATAGCCTAGGGTTCAGTCACTTACCTGTCCTGTAGTACTCGGTAGACTGTATCAATAGCCTAGGGTACGGTCACTTACCTGTCCTGTAGTACTCGGTAGACTGTATCAATAGCCTGGGGTATTGAACTCTTACCTGTCTTGTAGTACTTGGTAGACTGTATCAATAGCCTAGATTACTGATCTCCTACCTGTCCTGCTGTACTCGGTAGACCATATAAATAGCCTAGGGTTCTGGTCACTTACCTGTCCTGTAGTACTTGGTAGACGGTATCAATAGCCTAGAGAATTGGACTCATACCTGTCTTGAGTAGTACTTGGTAGACTGTATCAACAGCCTAGGGTACTGATTTTTTACCTGTACTGTGATCCGCGGTAGACCATATCAATAGCCTAGGGTTCAGTCTCTTGCCTGTCCTGTAGTACTCGGTAGACTGTATCAATAGCCTAGGGTACTGATCTCTTACCTGTCCTGTAGTACTCAGAAGACCATATCAATAGCATAGGGTTCTGGTCACTTACCTGGCGTATCGTATTTTCGACCTATTTAGATGTAATTTATTAATTTTTTGCAAACTTTATAGAGGCTGGAAAACTATGGGCTTATGTCATGTAGCCTCCATTTAAGTAATATTCACAGCAAGCGCAAGTAAATCTTACCTCCGGGTTGCAAACTGAAGTGTCTTTTGTTACTTATCCTCTGTGTGATGAACCGCGATGTTGTGTCCCGTTCTAAATTTTCAATAAACGATTCTAACTTTTGGTACTCATCAAATGTAGCAATGTGCGGCATGATGGCATGGGATTGTTTACATTAGGAACGCGCGCGAAATCATTCAAAATAATTCGGACAAAGAATAAGTCGGATTATTTAATTAAATCGTGTTGTTATTGTAACACAAATAATAATCAAAATATCAACGAATATAGTTTAATTTAAGTAATAAATCTTGTTCAATACAATGACCCATACATTTTTTTCAATAGGATATGAGCTCATGATCGAGCTCACAGGCGCCCGTGATCGCGCTGTATTTATTGAAATGAAAACAATACAAAAGAATACATTGTGCAAATTACTTTTTCCTTTTTGTGATCAAAATTTTCCCAGATCAAGGACTACAATTAGCTTTGTAATAATATGTGTGTATATGAATGAAAAAATTCCGGGAATAAAATGATAGATCGGATTCCTTTTTTTTCTTTAGATTCACCTCATAAATATTCATGTATACCTCAGGCTCGTGATATTTAGACACAACCAATTTTAATACTAAAACATTTCTTGATTTGTGAGAACGTCTGCAGAAACTATGGATCCTCGCCTCAGTGCCCAGGATGTGATCAGATGTGACCTTTGTGAGACAGCTATAGTACAGATGTACTGTGATTTCTGTCATGTCAACCTTTGTAAACCCTGTATTGGAGAACACATTGCAGATGAATATGATAAACATAAAATTGTCCCATTCCAACAAAGAAAATCAACCTTGATTTATCCAAAGTGTGCAACACATCCAACCAAAACTTGCGAATTAAAATGCAAGGAATGTGGCATTCCTGTTTGTTCCTTATGCTCTGCATCACAACAGCATAAAGGACACGATTTCTTAATTACCGCTGAAATATTCAACTCAAAGAAAAATGATATCGCAAAAGAGACAGCGGAATTGGAAAACATAATTTCTCAAACATACGAAGAAATGACAAATGATCTGGACAAATGGCTAACTTCAATGGGGAGTGTTGAGAAACTTACAACAGCAGTGACAGAAAATGGAAAGCAATGGCACAGAGAAATTGACAATGTCATCAATGCCATGAAAAAAGAAATTGATGGTTTAAAAGAAAAACACATTGACATTCTCAAGAAACATGCAGAAGAAATAAAACAAACACAGTCTCTTATTGAACAAACTCTGCTCAACCTGAAGGAAATTGAAGAATCAAATGAAATGTCATATGACATAGAATACAGCTCCAGGAACAAAGAATTCAGTTAACTTCCTCCTAAAGCACAGTATAACTTGCAATGTTTAATCCCAAACCAGTAGATAGAGATCAACTTTACAAGTTGTTTGGATCACTTGCATCACTATCTACCACAACAGAAGAAAATGGATACCAACTTAAGAAATTAGAAAAGTCAAGCAGAATATTGCTGGAAGAACCAGAACTTATCATTTCTATAGATACTGGGTATGAAAACCTCCGCTCTGTTGCCTGTCTAAGTGAAGAAGAAGTCTGGACAAGTAGGCATAGCGTCAGTGATATGAAATGCTTTGACATTCAAGGTTCACTTATCAAGACAATCAAAACAAAATCAGGGGAATGGCCAGGTGATATAGTATTGACAGGTGATGGGGATCTAGTGTACTCTGATGGGAAAACAAGGACTGTGAATACAGTGAAGAAAGGACAGACAGAGGAGATGATCAGACTACAGGGCTGGAGACCTAAAAATCTCTGTGTCACCTCCTCTGGTGATCTCCTGGTTACCATGTACAGTGATGATCAAACACAATCCAAAGTTGTCCGTTACTCAGGCTCCACAAAGAAACAAACAATCCAGTTTGATGAGGAGGGTAAACCGCTGTATTCAGGAAATGACAAGCTTAAATACATCACTGAGAACAGAAACCAGGATATCTGTGTGGCTGACTGTGAAGCTGGTGCTGTAGTGGTTGTAAATAAAGCAGGAAAACTCCGATTTAGATACACTGGTCATCGTTCTGCAACTAAGAACAAACCATTTGAACCTTATGGCATCACAGCAGACAGCCAGAGTCAGACCCTGACAGCAGACAGTGATAACCACTGTATCCACATCCTAGACCAGGACGGACAGTTCCTCCGTTATATAGATAACTGTGATTTGAAGGATCCATTTCGTTTATGTGTGAATAAAGATAATTTGTTTATTGCTGAGTGGGGAGGAAAAGTTAAGAAAATTAAATATCTGGAATATACATCCATACTGTAGAAGCACAAATTTTCGTGGGGATAAAATTTCGTTGATTTGTCATCAAAAATAGTTTCGTTGGCATTTAATTTCGTTGTTTTGAGAGTAAGCCTATCCAATATATAGTCATATAAAATCTTGTGTGGGATTTAATTTCGTTGATAATTGTTCACAACGAAATAAACGAAATTTAATCCCCCATGAATATTTGTGCTTTTACAGTATATGCTTGTGTATAGGCTGTCATGGTTATAATTTTTTTTTCATTTTGTAATATTTTAATTGTATTGTAAAAAAAGTGTTTTTCTTTCAAGTTTAGAAGTTATAAAAAAGATGGGGAAAATGTAGATTATGTCAACATCTTAGATATAATATTGGTTGTGCACATGAAAGCAATTTGTAATTTCATTAAAAGGATGTTATATTGCTATGATATAGATTAAAACATTGGATATAGTTATTTTATTTATATCTGCTGGTTTTCGCTTTTAATGAAATTAATTGTCACTCCTTTAAAATATTTCTTTTAAGTCCTTATAGTGGAGTGACAATCCTAGAAAAAGATGCTTAGTTTTCGAGTTTAATGGAACGGTATACCCTACGGCTGAAAGTTGTATTTTATAAAAGAGACATCCCTCCTCATACATTTTCGCCCGGTCGTAGAGTTTTCTCTAGTCAAATTTTTTTTTAACTTGCGATGATAGTCGAAAGAGGGGGGTATTTAATTTATTTATTTTTCTAGCTTATATTTTGTTTTCAAAGATTAATTATTGATTTTAAAAGAATACCAATTTGTGTGTGATAAGATAGCTACAGGTATCTAAATTTACAATGCAAAATTAATCAGGAATATTATTTGCCCCCCCCCCCCCTTTTAAAAAAAATCTTATGTTTTGTTATAAAAAACTGCGTTAATTTCAACAAAATATATTCAGTATAATTATTTATGAATTATATTGCGATATTAAAAACGAATGTTTACTTAAGCGTTAGAAAGATTTATAAGACAAAGATTTCGGATCAAATAAACCGCACTTTTTAAAGACGTCCTCACACTCTCTTTGATCAAAATATTGTTAAATATATTAAATTGGCTTCTATTATTAAAACGATAACGCTAATATTCAGTTTGAATTTAAATTAATGAGCATTTTATAGTAACTTTCATTTTTTCAATTATTCAAAATAAGTGATACATATTTTGTTTACGCAATTCCCCATTTACATGTACATACTGCCAAAAATTGAACTCTGTTACTATAATTCTTCATAAGGGTGTCATATTTTTCGAAAA